ACATCCCGGGGGTACAGGGTGGTCGAATCGGTGCTCGTTACATCGCCGGCTTGGAGTCACGACAGCACCAAAGCCTCAAAGCGAGCTGCGGCGGGGGAAAATGATAGTCTTGGTATACTCATGTATTCCATCCATCGAGTTCACTACAGGCAGTCCGGAGAAGCCTCGAAAATGCTCTGTAAATGAGACAGCAAATATTTCGGGGCTGACCAGACCTGCTGACAAGACACGCGCGTCTCAAGTTCATGGCGCGCACCTTCTCAGCAAAGCCTCAGTTGCTGCGAGCAGCATTAACGCGTCCAAACGAAGACCTGAAGCACCGTGGACACCACATTCTCAGCTGAAAGCTGTGACTTTGGCTCAAAACCGCGCTTGTTCGCTCGCCGCCAGCTGGTGTTCTCCCATTAACAGGATCAAACTGGTACTATCACAACGAGAACAGCATAGCGAAAAACTTTCGATTCATCACTTCACCATGACCCCGCAACCCCTAACGCTTCGTAGTTGCGCAAGCCACAGGGTCATCGCCGAACTTACCGAAGAGGTGACATCGGTGCATCCACCACCAGCCAGGCATTCGACTCTCTCAACACAGCCAACGAAAATACCTGGCGGCAACAAAGCCCAGCCGACTGTCCGAGCCGACACGGGCGCACTGGCCGCCCACCAGCGCCATCCGTGCAAACTACAACAGCGCCGTCTACCGAAACGACAGCGGCGTCACGCCCGATACTTGTCCCCTCAGCTGACAAGACTACAGCAGCGCCGCCTCGCAGGCGAGCTCGGTGCCGCCCTCCTTGCCGTGCTGGCGGTACTCGTACTCGGCGAGCGGCGGGTGCAGGCCGCACAGGTCCGTGTACGCCTGGCAGGACGCGGGCCCACCTCCTCCACCGTCACTGGTACGGCCGGCAGGTGGCGTCCAGGTCGGCCAGGCGCCAGCGTGTCCAGCGCCAGCTGGCTGCGCGCCGGCTCCGGGTACAGGATCTGCCACGCCGCGCAGCTGCCGACACAGGAGCACACCGTTCACGTACGCATGCGCGCGCCTGACAGCAGCTGCCGCCGGCCTGAACGGCACAGACCTCCGCTCAAGCCCACACGCTCGATACGACTGCGGTCGGCGCCAAGCGGCCGGGACGACCACAGCACCAGCAGCCGGGCAAGCTGGTGGCTGGCTGATACCGTCAGGTCCTGTCACTTCTGGTTACCCCGGCTATCAAGCCATTTCCTCGACAATTCCGCAAAATCTGTGCCATCAAACAAAAGACAAACACGTGACCTGACTTTCCCCAGATGTGACATGAATATTTCACACGGTGCCGTTGAAGACCCCTCCCCGCACGGTATCCGACTCCTCCCCCAGAAGCGGCTGTGCTGCTGACCGCGGCCACCCGGCCCCACTCACGATCGTCTTCTGGCGCATGTGGAAGAGGCAGCGGGCCACCTTCTCCACGGTGCGGAAGTGCAGCGGGATGCGCGGCTGGCGCAGCGGGGTCAGCACCACAGCGGCCGCGTCCACGCGCGGCCGCGGCGTGAACACGTGGCCGCCGATGGTGAAGCGGTACTGCACGTGGCAGAAGGCCTGCGCCACCACCGACAGACGGCAGCGCTGCTCGTCGCCGGCCTCGGCCGCCATCCGCTCGCCCACCTCCTGCCGGCGCACGACGCGGCCCAGCGCGGTGACGCTCCGGGCTGACGAGTGCGGCACCTGCCGGGCTTTGTGGCGTCTTGCCACCGGATAGGCAAGCCGCCGCTGCTACAACACTGAGCCACCGGTGACGAGAACGGTGTTGGGTCTGGCGGGAGGGTCTCTGACTCACGAGCGCGACGTCACTACTGACAGACAGCGCCAAACCACACGTCGTATCCGAGAGCTCAAGCCAGAGCTGACGGTCGCACTGACATGTCTTGCAGTGCAAGGCATGCCACTGCAAACCACTAGCCACACGGGGATCGGAGCCAGATTGGGGCCAGGGATCATAGCCCAGATTAGGGCGACACCCAGCCTCAGGCAGAGCCTCGGCTGACATACAGAGGAGCAGCCAACCACGCTCTGTTGAAAGAGGTTATCGACGCAGTCAGTCATCGGTGGACCTAAACGTTCATCAGAACACTTTATAGTACCTGGCCTGCACCCTTCAATTCCTACCGCTGAACGGTAGGAATTGAAGGGTGCAGGCACCACCCTCCCACCTCTCCTCCTTTCTCCAGGAGAGAGTGGGTAGCATCTGGCCTGCACCCTCCAATGCCTACCACCAAAAGCGCCATCCTCCCACCTACCCTCCTCTCTCCAAGGGAGGGAGGGGGAGGGGGAGGGATCGCCCGCCGCTACGCACCTTCTGAAAGGTGAGTGCCATCCGCACGCGGCCCGTGCGCCAGGCGCCCTCGCGGCGGGAAATGTCGCGCAGCCAGCGCACCACCAGCGGGGTGCTGATGCTGAACGGCAGGTTGCCGATGATGTAGGCCGACGTGCAGGGCTGCTCCCACGGCGTCGGCTCCACGGGGAACGTCGCTGCACGAACAAAGATCACACCGGGTCAAGGGTGGCGGCCGCCGGCGTCGGCTGATCCCACGGTATCGTCAGAATTGGTGACACGATCACCTGAACATATCTATACAAACGTATCAGATCACCCTTGTGTAATGCTGCAAAAATCTAGCACTGCGTGCCTCAAAAAGCCGACGCCCCCTTAACGTGACTAACCACTTGAAGTATTAGTGATCGGGACTTCGACCTTAAAAACACCGGGTCTTATACACATACAACTTAAAATAAAGAACAAATGCTAACTTTGTCAACTACTACCTGGCGTGACCTCCAACACACAACAGATCACTAGCTGGGGTGAACGGTGGCCGCACTGCACGCGCCGCACAGTCTTTGCATGGCTCCCAGACAAAACCAACGCATGCCATCCAGGCTGACTTTTTACGAACAGATCTCCACGGCGTCTCGAGCCCGGTGAGCAACCACCGTCGGAGCCCAGCTGAGCGACAGCTAAGTAGAGTAGCGTGTTTCTTCCAGCGGTCCTCTGGAGCTTTACCCACCGACAGGTGATGCACTGGTGAGCACAAATTATCATACTTGTCGTTAGCAGCGACATGATTCCCGCCCCCGATCGCTGGAATCGTGAGGCACAGCCCTCCCCCTCTCCCCGCCGAACCACTGACCTGACATGTCGTAGCGCAGCACGTCGCCGGCGACAATGTTGACCGGGCAGGGGGCGGCCGCCTCTCGCAGCATCAGCAGCGCCGGCAGGAAGCGCGTGTCCTTCTCCACGAGCGTGAGCGAGGCCGGCCGCTGCGCCAGCACGGCGCGGGTGACGCTGCCCGGGCCGGGCCCCACCTCACACACGTGCGCGTCGCGCAGCGGGCCGGCGGCACGTGCCAGACGGCTGCACGTGCCGCCGTCCAGCAGGAAGTTCTGCGACAGCTGCTGCACGGCGCGCAGCCGGTACAGGCGCAGCAGATCGCGAACGGACGGCAGCGGCGGCAGCCGCGGCGCTGCCATGGTGACGGAGACGCGGTGGCGGCCGGCAGCGCTGATTGGCTGATTCGGGCCGGAGCAGTCCGCAGCGCACCTCCGAGAGGAGCGACCACAGCCCGGGGCTCGAGTGCCCCCTGAGGGCGCTCCCCGACACCAACAGCCCGCAACTTACGCCGGAAAACGCAGTGCTCCACGAAAATGAATCAACCGTCCACCCGTTAAAGGCGTCGGGACAATATTCCACACCACACGGTTTAGCCACTGAGGTCCGTCAGCAGCGCAACAGTGCCCACTTCGCGCAATCTTTTAACGCTGACTCTCGCAATCCTGATCTCACATAAGCTCACACCGGCGTACTTAGTCCCCGAACGAAGCCTTCTAGCGTTGCGCTCGGTTTGCCGTGAATGCATCAGGCCTGCTTGCTCTTCTGCTGGCGGACCTCCTCATCCAGCACGTCCAGGAAGGTCTCCTGCCTCACGGCGTACATCGAGTAGGCGTAGATGCCCAGCATGGCGGCACTGATCAGGCCAGCAGTCACCTTAGCGTTCTTGCGCATACGGGTCAGCCTGGCGACGACGCGACACGCAGCTCAGAGTTAGCACTGCAAGAGTGGAGGTCGGTTTCACCTAACAAAATGACGTACGAGTGAAGGGCCGCCAAGTGTGCACGTTAGCCCTTGAATGGAGCTTCAACTACTTTCATCAGAAAATATTTTTCAATCAAATGTGTATGGTACATGTGCTGCAACAATGCATGTTTTTGTGAGAATTTGGATTAGTTCCTAGTGTATGCCACCATTTTGGTGCCAAGAGATGCTTCAAATACAATTAAGTATCTCTGTCTAAGTTTGTTCACGATTATGAAAGACAGTCTGTGTTTCTGATCACAATGGTTCTAATCCACCTATTGTAAGGGGAAATGCAATATTTAGCCAGTGATGCCAGAGCTCCTACCTTTGCAAGCGAGTCTTATTCATCACATCCACTTCATCCATCAGCTGTCTAGTTCTCTGTCAATGCTTCCCCCTTGCTTCTCAAAATCCACTTTTGGCATTTTGTTTCCATCCGCCATAGCTAGAATAAGGCCACCAGAACTATTAAGAATTGGAGATGGGCTGCTTAGATAATTGACACAAGGCAACAATGGGCCGGGGGGGTGGGGGGGGGGGGGGGCTATAAATCTCCAGCATTCAGAAATTCATCCAGCCATGTCCAAGATGTAACCATAAATTCAAGCATCAAGAATCCTGGCTATCTGGCAGCCCCCCATACACAATCAATTTGTTGGCACTAATCAGTTGCCCTTTGACCCTGCACCCAAATGCATGCATCTGACATGGGGGGGGGGCATTTATCACTCTGAAGGTATGGTATCACCCTTGCTTAGGTGCCGAGTTGACCCATGCCCAGTTTGATGCTGATTGGCCAATTTTCAGCAAGGTGGAAGACAATGGCCAATGTGCCCCAAGCCAGGGGTGCAACAGCATGGAAAAATATTGACATCCTTGCCACCTGAGTGGCAGAATATTAAAACATTGCAACTTATCATGTATCCATAAGCACTGATTCTTCTCATGTGTGGGAAGAGGCAAATTTAAATATATATCATACCCACCTGCTGTATAGCAGTGGTGGGGAAACAGCCTACACAAAGGGAGGTCAGGGGAAAACACAATCATTGAGCCACCATTTTTTTTCATAAAATGTGAAATGGCTCATTTGACAGTTGTGACTAAATGCTTCATTTCATAGCTTTGTAACTGAATAGTATATTTTAACCATGTGACTGTGGACAACATGTTTATTGCTAACCAGTCAGGTAAAATCATCCATCATTCAAAAACATTTTTGCAGTTGCAGCAATGACATATGACTGAGGTACAAACATACTTTGTCGCTGGATCCACTCTGGCGATGAAAATAAGGATCAGTGACCAACAACACCATAGAGCATGAGAAAAAATTGAGCTCATCAGAATGAAACCAGACATTTATGTGCAAGCAACACTTTTTCCTACAGTGTCTGATGGGCAGAGTGTCAGTGTCTCCATTTGTCATTACTGTCTCCTTTTATCATTAATCCAAAATGATGTATACAATCTAAATAAAAGTTGTTATTATATGAAAATGATCTCTGTTCCTTTTCATGAAAACAGGGCCAATATCCAAATACTCCTTAACCTTCATGAAAATAATTACAAAATATAGGCAATACAGCAGCCTTTAAAAATTAAGATACTAGATCAAAACAGCCTCTCATTAGTCATAAATTGGCTTTTATGCCACCCCAACTCATCCTTTACAAGATTTCATTGTGGATTTCTGACCCTGGAAGTGCTACATTGTGTACTCACAAGCAAGCTGAATAGCATCTTCATGAGGTTTACAGGGTTTAGTATGCCAAACAATCAGCTGATACATGCATCAAATCATGAGTTGCTCCCCATTACATTCAATATTGTTCCTACAACCTCTTCCTTAAGCCAGCAAGCATTCAACAAGTTTTTACTTCAGCACTATCCCATCAGAACAGGACTACCTGACAATACTGATGAATGTCAATCTTTATGGTTTGATCTGAACCATGGATTCCAGGAGTCAGAGCTTATCCTGAGCGGTGTTTACTGCATGAACTCTGGCCTCATCACCAGATCAACAAATGACCGTCACTGTACAATCGTAAGACCAAAGTTTAATTCACCGAAATGCTTGGCATGGTCTTCCTTGTCCTATTACCTCATGTACCCCTGAGCAGCTGATCCCACAGGCTGAGGGTCATCCAAGTCAGGGCAATTAGCAGGAGCCTAAACAGAGTGAAGATGTCCACCCTCCCAAAATGGGCACTTTCATCAGCTGACCTGAAGGGGCACACAAGCTGACTTAGACTATAGCGAACCCTAGCACAAAAACATGACTATCATAGTGCTTATTTGAAGAAGTCGATGAAATACTTATGAAAATACAATGTTGGTGACCCAAGAGAAAATAAAATTTGTTCTTTGGCCAGCCCAATTCATCTAACTTAGGCTAAGATTGAGCATTCAAAGAGGGACTCACCTGAAAGCCTTCCAAAATATCGCAGCAAAATATGATACAAAAACCGGTGCAACGAGCTCGACGATTTGTTTCAGTGCCTGCGATGCGCCCAATGCGTTAACACGTGTAATACAATGTCTTGCGTCGACACGGCTGCGGTCAACGCATTTTATGCAACCCGTTTGTAATGGACTCCGATGAGCCGAAAATGCCGCAGCCAAGTATGTCTTCATTAATTCACTGTTACAAGACATCTGAGGGACTCATTTAGGTTGATTTGGCTTCAGCAGAAATTATTTGTATCTTAACTCAAGGGAAAACTTAAGGAGTATCCACATGATTTAATCAATATCTTTCATTCTTTGTTTCCGATGCAAAATTCAAAAGGGTGGTGGTGTGTGTGTTGTGGTTTGAAATGCCACTTGTACAAGATTATGTATTCATAGATTTCTGTTCCTCTAAGAACAATGAAATTATACAAATTTCCACCACACTAAATAAAGTGATGGACAAATGTAATGTGACTGAAGGCAATGACAAACCGACGCCAACAGCGTCGCCTGTTCTTGAAGAAGACGACACAAATGATTTCCGCAAGCGAAGCAGCGGGAACCATTTGTATCGCTCGCTCCCTCGCTGAAGATATGTTTTGATTTTGTAGGGCACTTCCCACCGGTCGCGATTCAGTGCTCACGTAGCGCTTCTGCAGTCAGCATTTCGTTCTTGGTGTATGGCGTGGGCACGGCTGCACACGGCATCAAAGCTCAGCTGGTTCGGAATCATGACGGCAGGCGGCGGCACCATGGTGTCGGTCACGCCGGCTAGAGGGCCGGCGCCCGTCGCCGAGCGGCGATGTAACTCCGGAGCAGGTGTTCCAGGTGCTTCAGCTGGATGATGCACGTCCGCGATGGGGAGATAAACTTCCCATTCGGGCGCGAGATCGATGTAAGCCGTGGGGATTTTGCCGGCTAGTCGAGGCACTCAACACCGTGGCCTCACGGGCGTGTTCCCAGGGGAGTGGGATGAGCGTGAGAGGAACTATGCGACCTTTCATGGTGGGCTCCTTTATTTTGTCCTGCTGCACGGTCTCAAATTGCGGCGAATTAGCTGGTTGACCGCTACAACTGCTTGCAAACAACTTTGGAGCCGCGCTGGCCTGTTTGGCGAGTGCAAATTAAGGGGAGGAGATTAGCAAACCGGTAAAACAATTGCAGAGATTGGTTTCAGTCGGTTAGGCGTTTTTTAGCTCGCACATTTTCCGTTCGCAGTGTACTGAGGAGGGATGCCGTGCGGTTAGCGCTGAACAACTATAACGGGACCGCTCACTCAATTCGTGTGGCAGATGGAGCAAATGGGGTTAAAACTGAACCACGATGCTTTGGTCAGGGCCGTTGGATAGTCTAAATGTTGCGGTAGATGGCTGGCGCTGCGCGCCGGCTGCCGACATGATAATTTCACAATGTGGTTCATTCTGCGAAGTTAGAATAAGATTTGCGTACCACCGTATTTTTTAACAACCCATGCCAGTTTTTGTGTTTTCCCTAGAAGTTTTGCTGCATGGATTGTGCGAACCCAATTTTTTTTACTTGTTCGGCAGTTTTGTGTAACATGAGCATGTGCTAGTTAATCTACATCAAATTAATCGTAAATTGACGTTAAAAGCGATATCTAAGGACCACTCGGATCGCTTTCGGTTGAAGCCATATCTGCTGCGTTTGAGACCGACTGAAGGAAGGCAGTATTCTTCGCTTTCCCTATAATTTTGGTGTCGCTACGGATCGGAAAGAGTTGACTTTTATCGTGATCTTCGGACAGCAAGCATTCACACGCATTGCGCCGTTGGTCGCACATCGCCATCTGCCAAAAATTTGACACGATTTTAATCAACCTATCACAATGTCCAGCAGCCGGAGAGTCCATCGTTTTCGCTCGAGTGTGTACGAATTGTTGTATGCATCGGCACACTTGGCCAATGCGACCGTCATTGCTCTTTTCCGCCAAACGGCCTCGTAGTTGTCTGTTCCGATAGCTCGGGTGGTTAGAGCGTCTGTCTTCCGATCCACCCACCAGTGACGGGGTGGGTTCGGTTCGTTTTAGGCGCATGCCTTTTGTCCTCGACAGGTATGGACTGTGGTAGTGGCAGCGGTCGCGCTTAAGGTCAGGTCACGTCAGTGGGAAGGTCGGACCGCGCCAAGCATCGCGGCACGTTAGACTTTCGTCACCAAATCCTGACGTCGGCCTAGGGTTTCAAGAGTCAGGTGACATCGGCGGGAAGGTCGGACCGTGCCAAGCATCGCGGCACGTTAGACTTTCGTCACCAGATCCTGACGTTGGCCTGGCGTTTCAAGAGTCAGGTGACGTTAGTGGGAAGGTCGGACCGTGCCAAGCATCGCGGCACGTTAGACTTTCGTCACCAAATCCTGATGTGGGCCTGGGGTTTCAAGATCGAATGATGAGGTCCAAGTCTCACACAACAAGCACTGATAAGCAATAGCTCTTATCCTAAAAAAATCACTCAAAAGCTTTGGATGAAATATTCTAAAAATACCTGGGCGCGTGTTCCACCCGACCTTTACACCCTTTTCGTGGTTTGAAAATGTTCCGGCTCGCATGCAAATGTAATGGGGAAGGCAATGTACTTAAACTTTTGCAATTGCGCTGGGTAATGATTCCTAGCCGAATTTCTCGCCCGGACGTAACATGAAACAGCACGAAGCATATTTTAAGGAACTACTTTACTTGTTACTCAGTACTGCAGAAAGCTGCGATCAGTGGTTGTTAAGATAAACCCTTGTTAAAAGCGTGATCGCTGGTCTCGACCTCACCATGTCACAAAGTTGTTTTCGTTATACAGCTTTTCCGAAGTAATTTTTCCGTCGGACCATGTCTTCCATTGTAATGAATACTGAACGCATATATTCAGAGAAAATTCAATATATAAAAAGTACAGGAGTGCTTCCAGGAGATAAACACCGTATGTGGCTATGCCACCTCTTCCAAAGCTACGGTGATGGCAGCGCAGTGATGCTGTTCCGCGATGTCCTGTGAGTTCTCCAACTGTGCGAAGGGCTGCACCTCCGACCTCCACAGGCGGCCGATGAGAACGCTGAGCAGAACCATCTGGGTGATGGCGATGGCGAAGAACCAGCACCACTCCCGCAGAGTGCCCTGCAACGAGTTCATAGGAGTGCTGTCTACTGTTGCGAGTATCATTGTGAATATCTGTGCATTGTGTGCGGATTTGCAGTGGCTCGGCGAGGTCATTACATTCCAGTGAGCACTGCACACCGGCGGAGGGGGCGGGATATTTCTTTGCACGTGGCGCGGTTTGTGACCACAACGTGTCAAGGTCCGAGCGCAGAACCGGTATGGTGCTTGGTGCTTAGGGGACGCCGACAAGCGCGTCTTTTTTGTGCTGAACTTGAAAGCTTGGACGTTATATACCATGTGTGGGAATGCAGCTGCCCATGCCATCGATTCGAAACTCATGACAATGCTGCGAGAGCATGGAGCGCTGTCTCTGTGTTTGTGTTTTTGTGTGTTGAACATAAACAGAACCCTGGTCAGTGTCAGGTACTAATGAGGCATGTGACTGGGACAAGCCGAATGATGACAGCGATAAGTATATCACCATGCTGGGATATGACGTCATTACCGAGACAAATGGAGCTGGACACTTTTGTGTGTCATAAAGACTTGTCAGGGACTGTTTAAGACTGAAAAACATCTTTGGATTTACGCTTTCCTTGACTGTCATGGAAGTACTCACAACTGGCCGGTATTGTTGGAGAAAACGAAGAATGTACTTCAGTACATGCTTAATTCCGCTCCTCGGTGAAAGCTCCATCTTGCGGTGCTTTGCTCCGAGTCAGCCGTTATGCATGCCATCTATGCTATTAACTGCTGCACCCGACATCGTCTCAACATTCCACCTACGCGCACTGTGCGTCCTCTGGTCGTTGGGCCCAGCTGTCCTGCCCCGGGGTCGAGCGGCAGAGCACGACTGATCGACTCACATTCGGCGTCATGGCGGCCGCGATCAGAGGCGCCAGGAAGCCGGTGGAGTTGCCGAAGGAGGAGGCGATGCCCCAGATGAAGCCGATGTACTGCGGAGCGATTTCGGCGGCCGCCGACACCGGACCTAGAAAGCCAGTGTCGTGTGACGGGGAGCTGTGACAGTCAGCACCCGACTGAGAGCATCAGTGGTACAGGACCTGTGATAGTCAACACCGGACCGAGAGCATCAGTGGTGCGGGACCTACGACAGCCGACACCGGACTGAGACCATCAGTGGTACGGGACCTGTGACAGTCAACCCCGGACTGAGAGCAGCGTTGTTACGGGAGCTGTGGCAGGGAGCTGTGACTGTCGACCCCGGACTGAGAGCATCAGTGGTACGGGACCTGTGACAGTCAACCCCGGACTGAGAGCAGCGTTGTTACGGGAGCTGTGGCAGGGAGCTGTGACTGTCGACCCCGGACTGAGAGCATCAGTGGTACGGGACCTGTGACATTCGACACCGGACTGAGAGCAGCGTTGTTACGGGAGCTGTGACAGTCGACCCCGGACCGGGTAGGTGTGACAGTGAACACGGACACTTACCTACTCCCACTGACTTACAGGGAGCTGTGGTATCCTGGGCCACCACGGTGGTTCCAAACTTTGATCTGATACACCCACCCAATCGTCTTGTCAGGGATCCATGGCAACCATGTCGGTGGCACTTGGGAGAGACGTAACGTATCGCGAGGCTGTACAGGGACCCGTTTCCTAAGCAGCCTGCGTCGCGCGACGCGTAAAAACGTGGTAGGGATGGCGTTGCCAGTCGGCACCAGCTCTCAGGTCTGCCGATCCGAGCTAAAATCTCGCGCGAATAGAAGTACACCTTACAAGTCCCATCGCGATGTACGCGTGATGTGTAATAATGCTGACTAGCTGACAGTGATCCTAAGAATACAACTTGTCGATGCTGTAACATTATCATTGCCCGAAACCTCAGGATAATCTGCGCAGATCAGCCTCACTATGCGTATCAGATTGATGATGACCACTTAGAAGTAAAAGATCATTTTGCTGCATAATCCTAGCTGTTGTTAAGTGCCTCATCTCAGGACACTAGATTCGACAATTACGCAAGACACAGGGTATCAAGAAGACATCGTAGGGCGCATTGCTAGATGTTGCTACCGGCAGAGATCACGATGCTGGAGAATCCCTGGGCCAGGGACATCAGGACGACGCTGAGGTACCGCTGGCTGGATGGCAGCACAATGACGGCGATCATGCAGGCAGCCGGCACGAGCAGTCCTGCGGAACCGGAAGGCATGGTCAGTAGCAGCCTCAGGATGTCGAGCAGACCAACGAGGACTCAGACAAGTTGAGCAATATGCAAGGATTGTATCACCGTTGTATGTATGTTTGGCAATGCCTAAATGCCTGCCGATTGCAAACGCCTGCCCTCCATGGCACTGAATGATGTGTACAGCTTCGTCGCCATTGAGGTTTTACGACGTGCTCCACTGCTGACACGATATGGCGTCGCCTGCCTCTCACCCTGGCAGCAAGGGCGGGCGCGGTAGGATTCTATCCCGTGCTTCTGATTTTACAGACGCGCAGCTTAACCACTTCACTACCGGTTCCAACATATTGCTTGTTTCGACTTGCATGATATAACGTGCTTATGTAAAGCCAAGCAGCGCAGCGTTCGCAACAATTGGCGCGCTAGCTCATTGAATTAAAGAGCCTACAAGCTCAGGCGCCCCCAAAATTGTAGGCTTTTTAGATGCGGGCTTACCAATCGAAGACATTATTTTGCGTGAGTTCGTAGTGCTCACGCCCTTGTTGACGTGAATGTACTCATACGCCTTTCCTCCAGCAATGATCAGAAGACCCATGGACAGGCTTGGTAGGGCCGACACGAAACCATTCTGAAACGACCCGACGTGGTTAAAATCGCAAGCAAAATCAATCGTAACACTTCTTCCGGCGTATGCCACGGCACCTTGCGTGCGGGAGGGCAATTTTGCAGAAAGAGGTGGGGTGCCCGACGTGGTTAAAATCGCAAGCAAAATCAATCGTAATACTTCTTCCGGCGTATGCCACGGCACCTTGCGTGCAGGAGGGCAATTTTGCAGAAAGAGGTGGGGTGCTCAACAGTAAAAAAACACGCAAACTACACCCAAAATTTACAAACTACTTTTTCGGATATGGCCCAATTTATTCTCAAAGTTTTGGGGACTGGAGCCCGTACTTCAAATGAACAGAATACTGCACCCTGCTAGCGAATGTGCTCAGGCACGAGTGCGTGAGAGCGGTTGTTAAGACGCAAATTTCGCGCGTTTAAATTTTAATCGCCGTCTATTCTTCCCATCCAACGCCATAGGCTCAACGCTGATAAGCTGATAAGTTGTCATGTAATAGTCAGTCGACGTGCATGAATTTTCATCGCACTTATGCAAATGTGTGGCTGTTTATTGCATTTGTATCTGGCACATGACTTCGCTTCATGGTTTGCGTTCGTTCCTAGGTGACTCTCAACGAAAGGCTGACGTCAGGTATGATGTAGCGCAACCCGCATTTCCTTCACATCTCCACGACTTAAGCAGATGTACGACAGTGGTCTGTTGCTAGCTCACCTCCATTATGTCGAAGTCAAAACCTTCCTTCATGAAGGTTGGCAACGTGATGCTGAGAGTCGCATAGAACCAGCTGGTAACGAAGTAACTGAGCATGATGATCCACACTTGCAGATTGCGCAAGAGCACCCAGATTGAAACTGGCTTCGTCTGGAGACAAAGAGAAGTTCAGTTAACCTAAACGTCCAATGTCATTTCTAGAGTTATAACCTTTAAGAAACAAGTATCATACTTGGAAAGTGTCCTGACGTCATGCATACTCAGAAAGACAGCGCTTTCTCGACCAATCACAAGTGAGTTCACCCCTACGTTGCCGCTGCCGTGAATTAAGAGCTCGCGGGATAACAAGAGCACGTGCGACTCTGACACAGCAAACGCTGCTCAGGGTGCTGGATGTGGTGGCGGATACTAACCGGCGCCTTGGCCGATGTCTGCACGTGCGCCTGCGACATCAGGCACTTCTTCTCCGCCTCGCTGATGAATCGGTGGTGCTCTGGCGACTCGGTCAGCACGAAACAGGCGACCAGCGCCCACATGGCGGAGGCCATCGCTGCCCGTGCGGCGCGCTAGGTCAGACAGTGAGCATACGCTAGGTCCTACTAAGTAGCGTTAGGTCAGATTCGTGGCACATGTGTCACAGCCGTATGGCAGGCAGCAGGCCGGTTCGTGGACAAAACTAAGTAATTAGTGCCCTTTTGGATGCTTTATTATCCAAACTTATGGGCCCTTGCTAAATTGCTCAAAATCATTTATAAGAGTGATCGTTGGCTATCGTTTTCTAGGCGCTTTTGGGTAGTTTCCATCCAACATGAAGCGTAAGCATGAATCAATTAACGATGATTCGAAAACATTATTTTCACGCTTCCGTACGCTGTTTCACCACAGGAATGTTCGTATGTCTTTACACCTAATGAATCCATTTCCCTACCTCTACTGTGAAGACTTACGGACACTTATTCGCAACACCGTCTATTAAATGGAGCGTAACTGAACCACCATCTTCGATTTTCCGTCTGCTAAGGTCCACAGATCGGTTCTAAACGCGTTTAAAACGGAACACCGGAAAAGTCAACTTCACAGAAAATCAGTTGGAAGTAAATGGGGAGAGGGCCGCTGCCTACAAATTTTTCGGTTTCGGTTTGATCTGCCCTGCACCAGATGTCACGTGTGCCTCGAATACCTACTGCCTGGAACACACTTCAATTTATTTAAAAAGGGGAAGCTGGTTTAGAAAGGGTCTTTGCTTCAGTAGGTACGAAAGGCTGCCGAAAAGTGTATTCAAGCTGGTTTTGTTTCTCTCGAACCGATGATAGCCCAAGCATAGCCCAAGTCAGAAACTTGGCACACCAGTGATTACAGAATGGTTGGTGGCCTAACAGCCATGGTGTGTCTACATTACCCCTAACTGGCATGTTTCTAGGGACGGCAGTGTTCAACACGAAATATTCACGCGATGTTAATGCATAACGATCTGAAATGACCACTAAAACATGGGTTAAAGGTGACAAACACGCGATTCCGACTTCGTTGGTACTGGTAACTAGTGACAATACTTGTGATTGCCTCAAAAACGGTAGTACATCAATTGAAAACGGCCTAAAACGCGTCCATGTCGCACTCCTGCGCATATGCACCCAAGGTATACGTTCCGCCCCGTCCCACCACTGCAGACACCGCCAGCGCAGATTGGGGTGGCCTGGGGCAAGTGTAGTGGCAGCGGTCACACTGAAGGTCAAGTCGGGTCAGGTCAAGGGCCGGCACCGGCTGCTCTGAGTAGTGTGGCAGGCTAAGCCTTCGCTGCCAAGTTTTGCCGTTGACCCGGCATTTCACGATCGGACAGTGAGGTCAGAGCTCACGGTGACCCCACTGTCGATCCCAATCCGGACTCCAAATTGACACTGAAAAGCCTTTTCCTTAAGCCCGAAGGATTTCTCCGTGGAATGGTCTATACCGACACCTTATTTTTTCGGCATGCGTTTTGAATAGCCCCGCCAGTAAAAAAAAAGCGAATGCGTTGGGTCTGGATAAGTGGTGCGACCTTCTCATGCACAGGATTTATTATTCTGTGCATTGGGACAAGAGATAGCATAATCGTGACAAGAATGCGGCGCATGTCACATTTTAACAAAAAACATGGTTCAAGGCAATGAGGGCCGTGCAACGTCGTGTTCCAGTCCCGCTTACCACAGACATAAAAGACCACCGGCCACCCTCCGAGCCCGTGGGACTGACAGAGCGCGCTGGTCACCGGGAAGGCGGCGGCGCTGCCCAGGTATAGCCCACTCCAGGCTATGGAGAACAGCAGCGCAAACTCGCCGGCCGCAGACCAGTTGCGGAGAATCACGTTGAAACCCGAAAAGAACGGCGACTGAAACGGGGGCGAGGATCAGCCATCAGATGAAGACAGCTGAACGAGGGAAGGCATGCAGCAACCGAGTGGAAGTCGAGATGTACTAATGTTTACGCTGCTGCGGGCGTTTGTCCGCTTCAAACGGACAAGTGACAAAACCATGACAGTGGGAAGGACCTTCGCCTTGTGATACACTAACAGCACCAACTGCAGCAAAGCACGCAAAACAAGACAGAATGTGGTCATTCAGCGGAAGCAGATTTCATTTTTGTTAGTTGAATGAAGAAGAGGGAAGATGCCGCAAACTAGTCTGCCATATGATATTCTTATTTTGCAAGGCAATGACAATTCATGCAATCTTCGTTGCATGCCATACCGTTACTGCTGGCTCGTAAAGCAAGCAAACAGGACTAACCCGGGCTGTAGCAAAGCACATCTGTTTATCCGCTTCAATTGTCCAGTATATCTGGTGCGAGGATGTACGAATCTGGTGACAGAAACGTATTAGGGTTCAGATGCAGCGTTATCACTCCGATGCTCACCGTTACCACGCCCTGGATCACTCTGAGAATGACGAAGCTAGCTGGCCACAGCCGCGTCGCCTCAGGCATCAGCGCCAGCAGCAGGGCCTGGGAGAGCGCGCTGCAGATTACGACTCTGTGGCTGGGGTACCTGGCAACGCGAAGGCGCAGGGCTGAAACGCCTGGCGAGAAACATACGTGATACCGGACGGCAGGTGTTACTCGACGGCCCCATGCATTTGATGTATCGCGCCCGTCTGAAAATGAATCAAAAGCGGGTGACAGCAGCAAGTGACGGAGCTGTCAGCTCCAGCTATTCAACACCAGTGTGTGTAAGGATGCACCGGTTCCATTTCCTTTTCACAATTGCTATTGTCTGTGACAAAACGTCGCCGGCAGGAATTTCTCTGAAGTGAGGAAGTGCAGCGGCGGCTCCGGGGGCGCTGAGAGTCAGCGGGCGTCCCAGCGCAGACAGATGTCAGCGTCGAGACGTCAGCGCACCTGTCAAAACCCATCATCTGTCAAACAGCTCACCTATCAGCCACCCAGCCGCCGACAACCAGCGTCGCTACGTAGCCGTAGAAGTAGGCGGACAGCACCAGGCCCTGGAACTGCTTGCTCCACGTAAATTCTCCCTGCAACAGTGTCATGACGGTCGACCGAACCGCTGATACAGTCGCCGTTTTCGAGTGATCGTTCAGGCGGAGACTGCCCTCTCGTGGTGGGGTGCGCGGTCACAGTCCTCTCGTTCCCACTGGCCTCTGACCCGGCGCGTGTTCATTGACCGGGCACGTCCGTCACGAGCCTGCCGAAACTTGCAGCGGCCTCACGTAGCTGGGATCGGCGGACACAGTATTCACGTGACGAAGATTCACTGCCTTGGGGTGACTGTGACATACCAACGGTTACAGATTCACTGCCTTGAGGTGACTGTGACATACCAACGGTAACAGTTTCACTAGCACATGTCCCGTGCTCACGTGTTCACTGGCACATCTCCATGCTCACATGTACACCGGCGCATGTTCCGTGCTCACGTGTTCTCTGGCACGGCAACTGTTCTCACTTATCCATCTATATGACAATTATTCTCAATTGGCCACCGAGATGAGCGCCGTTCCCACAGGTTAATTACCACTGGCACGGCCTTAGTCCTCCCATGGTTAGTGACAGAAGCAGTGCTGCTCTCGGCGATTGCAAAAAAAAAGAAAGTTAAGGGCATTTGTAGAACAAGTGTAAGCAGGAAACCACGCTCCCAATTTACGCATCCTGTGCTTCCTTACCCACGCGAGAGTGGTGTACCACTCTGGATGACCGCTTCCATTGGAGCAGCTGCAGTAGCAGCACACTCTTAAGACACACTTTGATTTGAAAATGATATGAATGAGTCTGGCTTTGATGTCGCATGAATTCGTAACCATCCTAGTTACTTTTGAGGGAAGTGTCAAGGATAATCATGGTACAATGCCCGCAGCAGACCGTAGCGCCCGCGCTGCGTTAAAGAGGGTGTGACCTCCACTGTCGGCCCGCTCACGCTGAGAGGCCCCCAGAGTCGTTGCACGCCCTGTAAGCCCTCTACAAAATAGCTGGTTTTAAGACGGATTATGAAGCAAAGCTTTAAAAACTGCGTAGAACGTTTTCAGCGTTTATGGTCTAGCTACAGAACATTCATCGGCGGTTTTCGGCTGAAAATTTTTTGAGATTAATAACAAGTATGTAAAAACGCATGGTTTGGCAAAACTGTGGTCGGCTGGCTACAACCAAACCATGCTTTCATGCACAGGTATGGTGCCATATCTCATACTATGACTTTGTAAAACTAAAAAAACAACAAAAAAAACAAAACATTCGGTGACATTTCTGCCGCAGACGGGATGTGAGGAACTCTTACATTCTGGCCACGTCCCTGTTCATAGTTACGCAGCATTTACAGAACCCACATACTCAAACACACCAACGACGAACGATCCTTTAATTAAATGATCCTCAAAGTTCGCCTTGTTTCACACAGCACCGATGTAAACAATAATGGAGAACCCAGCATCCAACGTTCTCGACCGATTTACACAGATGCCCAACTAAAATTCACAAAAGGCGCTTATTTCTTGCAGAACATGGGCTCTAAACAGATATTTCTGAACTCCTTGTTCCAATTTTGTCACCCTTAAGTACTTAAGTGCTATCATTGTCGGTGTTTTGCAAGGTCAGATCAACCAAGGGCAGGGTAGGTCCAACTTTGACTTTTGTGGCTAGATTTAACCTTTAGTTCTAAGTTTTTACAATCAAAAGCAATAGGTTACAAGCCCTTACAATTTAAGCCAAAAATTGCGGACATCTTTCAGCGTTTGAGACCTTGCTAACGCTGCTCTCCCATCGATGTGGCTTGTTTATTTCTTAATAAAGCCCGATAGGCTAATGCAATGCAAACCTAAAATTTCACACACACACACCCTGACGCATCACAGGTCACATGTTTCGAGATGCCCACCAGCAGATGCATACAGCTTGCTCGATACGCTCTGACTCATATCAACAATTGCACTTGTGTTTGAATGGTGTTTTTAATTTGTTTGCATCATGTGTCAGAGTACGGTAAGATCAGGTCAGGTCAGGTCACCTGTCTCACTATATATGTCTCACTATATATATGTCTCTATATATATATATATATATATATATATATATATATATATATATTATATATATATATATATATATATATATATATGTATATGTATATATATATATGGTTTATTATATATTCGTGTATACATAGATGTTAGATCTATATATATATATATATATTATTATATATATATAGGTATATATATATATATATGTAGTATCTCTCTCTCTCTCTCATCTC